GAGTCCCAAAATCAATGCTGCCGATTTGAGGTTTGGGTTACGGTGGTAGCTCCCCACTTCCGATACACATTTCTTTTCCTGCCACTTATTAGTATTGTATACCAACATAACACAGTCCAGCTGCTGCTGTTGCCATGGGGGTTTTGTTCCATGGGTTCTGTCAACAAACCCCACTCATTAAACATACTAGGTAACCGCTCTGCCGCTTGAACTACACCTCAGCCCTCACGTAAAAACTTTTTTTATAATTTATTTAAATTTATTTTATATGCATTGGTGTGAAGGTGTCAGATCCCCTGGAATTGGAGTTACAGACAATTGTGAATCGCCATGTGGGTGCTGGGAATTGAACCTAGGACCCCTGCAAGACCAGCCAGTGCTCCTAACCTCTGAGCCATCTCTCCAGCCCCCATTAAAAACTCTTGTTATATTTTTAACACAGGTGTTTGTTTGGTTTTGTCTTATCTTATTTTCTTCAAAGCCTCACTGTGTAGGTGAGCCAGACCTAGGATTTTCAGCAACCCTCTTCGTCCAGCTCCCAATCTACAAGGAATACAGGTGTGATCCATCACAGCCAGATTAACAAACTGTCTTAAAACAATTAGTTCATTCTTCTCGTGATTTTGTGTGTTGACTCAGTTTAAATGGATCACTTTGTGACCCAGGTGGCATAATTGAGGTCACTCAAGCCACTGGATCCAGCTGAGCGATAAATGGGACTCATGTGCCTCTGATAGGCTCCGATTCTCCAGCTTGCTTGCTCTCTCTCTCTCTCTCTCTCTCTCTCTCTCTCTCTCTCTCTCTCCAGGATTTCTCATCCTTTAAAACACTAAGAGCACAAGGTCGCAGTGTGTAAATTGTAAATTGTTATCAGACTGTTTCCTAATGTCTCACTGACCAAGCTATTACAAGTCCAGAATCTATACAAGAGAGTACTACATAAAGTCATGGGTATTAGAAGATACTGGTCATTGGGAACCAATGATGTAATAGCCTTTTGTTGTTCTTGGGTTTTGCTTGTTTATCTGTTAGATTTCATTTTTATTGTTTTTAATTATAGATAGTGTGTATCTGTGTGGGGGTATGCACACTTAAGTGCAGGTGTCCACAGAGGCCACAGGGGTCAGATTCCCTTGGAGCGGGAGCTCCAGATGGTTTCCAGCCATTCAATGTGGGTGCTGGGATTTGAACCTGAGTCCAGTGGAAGAACATGCTCTTAACCACTGAGCTATTTCTCTAGTCCTTGTTTTTGTAACAGGGTCTCACGTAGCCCATGCTGGCCTTGAAATCCTGATACTCCTGCTTCCACCACCTCTTAGTGCTGGGACTTTATGGGTGTGCATCTTGTTTTAGTCGGTGCTGGGAATGGAACCCAGGCATCATGCATGCTGGGCAGGCACTCTATCAGCGGAACTTAGGGATCAATTCCCAGCACCACAGAAATTAAACAAAAGCCAAACTCGGTGGCACACATCTGTAACACCAGCGCTAAGGCGGCAGGGGTTCCTTCATTTCAGAGAAAGATACCTCAGTAGGGCAGATAGGAGACGATGGGGGAATGAGCAGCTGTCATGGAGACATAAAGAAATGTGCAGCCTGGTGTTTGGGCACACACCTACACCAACGCTTGGGAGGTCAAGCAAGGCCAGCTTTGTCTACACAGTAAGAACCTGTCTTAAAATCCATCCCCCAACCCCGACACTAAAAAAATATTAAGGTGATATTATTACTACCTTTTTATTTATTTATTTTTTTTTTTAAGAAGAAAGCGATGTGTGGACAATAGAATCATTTTGGAGAGGGACTGGATATGGGGGGAGAAGGAGGCAACCACAGGGTGTGTAGAGGCGGGAGGGCAGGGAGTTGTCCATCAGTGTTATCCACACACAGGAAGAGGAGTACTGATGCTCTCACTAGCACAGGTGGACTGCGATGTGCCAGCAGGACATCCAGGTGCCACCATTAACCAGCTATAAATTTAGGCATGAATTTGGTGATACCCAGATCTCCAGGTCCAGCCTCCCTATGCAAAATGCCCTAGCCTAGACACGCAGATGTGAGAATCAGTGACTTACAGACTATGTCGGCGGTCTATGGGTATGGATGAGTTGGATGAGTGCCTTTTAGCATAGAGCAACAGGAAACGAAGACGGAAGACATGCCTCGGAGAACCTGGAAAACCTTTGCATGGGGGGCGCGGGGGGGGGGGGCGGACAAAGGAAAACCAGGGAAGAATAATTTGAAGTTGCTAGGTGTAGGGCTGGGATGTAGCTCAGCCGAGGAGTGCGTGCCCGGTACACACAATGCCCCGGGGTCCCCCCACAGAAGCACATCAAGGTGGTGTGGTGGGTGGCACATGCCTGTAATCCCAGCACTCAGGCAGCAGACTGCAGACAGAGCCTTCCATCCTCCAGGCCAGGCTGGACTCCAAGAGACTATGTCTTGAAAAAGGCAAAACTAAAACAGAAGGATAGTCAAAACGAAAGAGATTTCTCCCATCAGATAACCATGTGGAACTCTTCTTCACTTGGTCTCCACCTCTCCTAATGTCTGTTTTTCATAAAACCCTACGGCAATTCAGCCAAGTTATCAGCTCCATTGTAACAAGAATGGATTTTATTCCAGTTTCCAAAAAGAGATAAGACATCCCTTAATTTCGGGGTTGGGGATCTAGCTCAGTGGTAGAGCGCTTGCCTAGCAAGCACAAGGCCCTGGGTTCAGTCCTCAGCTCTGCAAAAAAAAAAAGAAAAAGAAAAAGAAAAAAAGAAAAAGACATCCCTTAATTTCCATCTGAGATTTCAACAGAATTCTTCCCCCATCCATATTCCTTTGTTTGTTTGTTTGTTTTTTGGTTTTCCAAAACAGGGTTTCTCTGTATAACAGTCCTGCCTGGCCTGAAACTCACTTTGTAAGCCAGGCTGTCCTCAAACTCAGAGATCTGCCCGCCTCTGCCTCCCAAGTGTTGGGACTAAAGGCATGCGCCACCATCGCCCGACTCCCATCCATATTTCTACTAACACTTTTTTTTTTCCTAAGAAAAGGTCTCATTCTACAGCTCAGGCTGGCCTCAAGTCCACGACAGACCCCTCCTCAGCTTCTCGAGTGCTGGGACTGATTGCAAGCATAAGCCACCATGCCTCTACCACCGTCTTCCAAGTTTCATGTGTATGGGTATTTTGCCTGCATGTATGTCTGCATACCACATAGATGTTTGGTGCCCTCAGAGCCCAGAAGAAGCATTGGATCCCCACTGGAGTTGCAGATGATTGTGAGCCACCATGTGGGTGCTGGGACTCTGGAAAATTAGCCCTTGCTCTTAACCCCTGAGCCATCTCTTTAGACCCTCCTGTTACCACTGTAATTATGACCACTGAGTCACCTCTAAGAAGTGTCAAACCTTATAATTCTCCACGTCTTGTTGTTTTGGGTTTTTTTGTTGTTGTTTGTTTATTTGTTTGTGTAGTTTTGGAGCCTTTCCTGGAACTCACTTGGTAGCCCAGGCTGGCCTCGAACTCACAGAGATCCGCCTGGCTCTGCCTCCGAGTGCTGGGATTAAAGGCGTGTGCCGCCGCCGCCCGGCCATTTTGTTTTGTTTTTGAAACAGGGTCTCACTATGTAGCCCTGGCCAGCCTGGAACTTGCTGTGTTCCACACTGGTCTCGATCTCACAGAGATCTGCCTGCCTCTGCCTCCTGATAATTCTCCAGTTTTGATCCCTTACCAGAACTGCCCTCCATACTTGATGGAAATCTAGTCTGTTCTTGAACCTGCTCCTCCAAATGCGTTTCTCTTCCACCCATTTCCAAAGCCACGCCCGGTTTTAGGTGTGTGCTATTGTACCATCTCATTCTCAGAACCGTTAAGAACACTGACTGCTCTTCCAGAGGACCTGAGGTCAGTTCCCAGCACTCATGTTGGTGACCCAACCACCTGTAACTCCAGATGCATAGGGTCCAACACCCTCTTCTGGACTCTGCAGGTACACACACACACACACACACACACACACACACACACACACACACACCCAGAGGGCTGGAGAGATGGCTCAGCGATTAAGAGCACTGACTGCTCTTCCAGAGGACCAGGGTTCAATTCCCACATGGCAGCTCACAACTGTCTGTAACTCCAGTTCAGACACCCTCACACAGACATGAACGCAGGCAAAAACACCAATGCACATTAAGAAGAGGGAAGAGGAGGAGGAGGAGGAGGAGGAGGAGGAGAACCAAAAACAAAACAAAACAAACAAAAAAAAAAAAAAAACAAGTGTGGTGTCACACACCTGTAATCCCAGAGTTTAGAAGATAGCATCAGGAAGATTAGAAGTTCAAGGCTCAGCCAGGCGGTGGCGGCGCATGCCTTTAATCCCAGCACGCGGGAGGCAGAGCCAAGCTAATCTCTGTGAGTTTGAGGACAGCCTGGTCTACAGAGCGAGATCCAGGACAGGAACCAAACAAAGCTACACAGAGAAACCCTGTCTCAAAAAAAAAAAAAAAAAAAAAAAAGTTCAAGGCTCCAAAGATATATAAATCAATATGGGGCGGCTGGAGAGATGGCCGAGTGACTGACGCAGAGTACCAGCGGCTCAGCCAGAGGACTGGGTTTGATTCCCAGAGCCGCACAGGGTGGCCCACAGTCATCTGTTACTCCCTCTGACCTCTACATGTGTGCTCTCATAGTGATCCCTCTCCTACGCGCATATACACATACACAAGCACACACAATAGCACATTAAAAATCAGAACCAAGTAAAACAAAAACTGGGCATACGGATGCTACAAGCCTGTCATCCCCACACTCTGCGAGTGGAGGCAGGAGGATCACCAGTTCAAGGTTGTCCTTGTCTGCATATGGAGTTTAAGGCTGGTTTGGACTACATGAGCCATTGTCTCAAACAAAGGGAGAAAAAAAAAACCAAGTATGCTGAGAACAGAGAGGTCGGTGGCAGAGCTGATTTAGAAGGCCCGCGATGATTAACTAGGGTTGCTTACGTTCCAGGCCTCTCCAGCACCAACCGGACGCGTCTGGATTTCCACTTCTCCCACAGAACTGCCGGTGGCATGGAGGTTCGGCAGGCCCGCCTCGTGTTCTTTGTGCACCTCCCCTCCAACGCCACCACCCAGACCGTGAACCTGCAAGTCCTTGGGCCCAGGCCACATGACACCAACCTCACCTCGCCAAGTCAGCACCGGCTGCGGGTGGAGGGCAGCGGCTGGCACCAGCTCCTCCTGGGGCCCGAGGCTCAGGCTGCTTGCCGTCGGGGGCACCTGACCCTGGAGCTGATCCCGGAAAGCCGGGCGGCCCAGGGTTCAGCCATCCTGGGCGGGTTTTCGCACAGGCCTTTTGTGTCAGCCCGGGTAAGCGCCGGGGGCCGGCATCGGCTTCGCCGCCGCCACCGCCGCGGCATCGACTGCCAGGGAGGGTCCAGGATGTGCTGCCGGCGGGAGTTCTTCGTCGACTTCCGCGAGATTGGCTGGCACGACTGGATCATCCAGCCCGAGGGCTACGCCATGAACTTCTGCACCGGGCAGTGCCCGCTCCACGTGGCCGGCATGCCGGGCCTCTCGGCCTCCTTTCACACCGCAGTGCTCAATCTGCTCAAGGCCAACACGGCCGCGGGCACCACCGGAGGGGGCTCGTGCTGCGTGCCCACGGCGCGGCGCCCTCTCTCTCTGCTCTACTACGACAGGGACAGCAACATCGTCAAGACGGACATCCCGGACATGGTGGTCGAGGCCTGCGGGTGCAGCTAGCTCGCCTGTGATACCGGCGGTCGGAGCGAGAGCCGGCTGACCTGCCCTGGCGAGGACCGCCTTCCTCAGAGGGTGGGAATGACTGGTCCTCTCCTCTGTCCACCACCTTCTTTGTAAGCAGGCAGACCGCCCTCTGTTGACCCCAGGAGACCTGCATCTAAAGAGAGTCACCCAGGACCGCCAGCCTCTCTCTCTCTCCTGGGCCATGATTGACCCAGAACACCCTCATAGACCCAGAACACCCTCATAGACCCAGAACACCCCTCATCCTAGACCCAGAACATCCCTCATAGACCCAGAACACCCTCATAGACCCAGAACACCCCTCATAGACCTAGAACACCCTCATAGACCCAGAACACCCCTCATCCTAGACCCAGAACATCCCTCATAGACCCCGAACACCCTCATCCTAGACCCAGAACACCCCTCATAGACCTAGAACACCCTCATAGACCCAGAACACCCTCATAGACCCAGAACACCCTCATAGACCCAGAACACCCTCATCATAGACCCAGAACACCCCTCATAGACCCAGAACACCCCTCATCCTAGACCTAGAACACCCCTCAT